AAATGTAGAGCACGAGAAGGTTAGAAGTGGTGACCTCCAGGCTCAGTAGGTGACTGCGCCTGTGTGGCTCCAATAAGGTCTTTGTTTCTTCTTATATTAGATCCGATAAAAGAAAAACTGAAGCGTGTTTCAATTTTAGTCTGTAATTCATGAATAGAGGGCCAATTAAACCTTTCAGGAGAAGGGAGACACTTTAAGGTATTTGTAGAAGCAAGACAAGAAATACCGTTTTGATTGGTTAAAAGTCAGTGTTTACTAACTGGTACAATTTCTAGTTTCAGTTCAGTTTACAGTAGATGTTGGTTTGTCCAGGTGGAATTGAAAGTGTGAGAAGCACCACATTTAATGGCATCCAAATAACATTTTCCCCCTCTACCAGCCACTGAGTTTTCGTCTGACTTTCATGGGTTCAGCCTTTATATTGAGGTCACCGATCAATTGTAGCTTAATTTTTGTATGAACCGTGAGTTCAGAATCTGTTTTTGTGCGGATCTTTAGTTGTTTGGCAGTATTTGTTGAGGGATATTTTCTTCTCTCATTGGTTATTCATTGCTGGTGTATAGCAACAGTAACCTCTTGTACACTGGTCTTGTAAAAGCTTTTTTGTATTTGCTTTATTAGCTTTAGTGGCTTTCTTGGTGCATTATTGGGATTTTCTATATATAGGATCATTCTGTCTGCAAATGGATGTACTTCTTTCTTCTAATTTGGATACATTTCATTTGTTTTTCTTTTCCTTTCTCTCTCCCTCGTATTCTTTTCTTGTTAAATTTACTTAACTTTATTTCATGTGTGTTTATTTTTATTTATTGGTGTGAAGGTGTCTGATCCCCTGAAACTGGCATCACAGACAGTTGTGAGCTGCCACATGGGTGCTAGGAATTGAACCCGGATCCTCTTGAAGAGCAGCCAGTGCTCTTAACCACTGAGCCATCTCTCCAGCCCCTTTTCTTTTCATTTTGGAGGTATTCTCACTATGTAGCCGTGGCTGGCCTCTAACTACTGAGGGCTGTGATTAGAGGCATGTGCCACTGTGCCCAGCCTCTTCTGTTTTTCTTCCCTTAGTGCTCTGGCTTGAACTTCTCTACCATATTGGATAGCAATCACAAAAGCAGGCGTCCTGCCTTACTCCTCATGTTTGAGGAAAGCTTTTTAGCCTTTCACCATTGAGTGTGATGTTAGCGGTGGGTTATAAAGACCCCTTAACACGTTGAGGAAGTTCCTTTCTGTTCCAGCTTTCTGATATTTTATCATTAAAGGATGTTGGATTTTTAGCGATGGTTTCTCAAATAGAGATGTTGGTTTTCCTCCTTTGTTCTATTGAGGCATTACATTGGTCACCGAAGTCTTTATCCTTGGATTGCTTTGTCTAGCTTGGGTATCTATAATACAGAATCAGTTAGGAATGCTTTTCTTTCCGGTTTTCTTGGAAGAGTTTGAGAAGGACTGATGTTGATTTCTTGTTTCTGGCAATGCCATCCGTTACCACTTTTCTGTTGTTGGTAGGAAGGTTGTGACTTCTCAGTCAGTTTCTTTGTTTGGAGTCTTTTGAGATTTTCTATTTCTTCTTAAGTCAGTTTTTGTAACTTGTGGATTTAAAAAGAAAGCTGTCTGCCTATTTAGCTTATCTAATTTGGTGGCAAATGATTGTGCATAATATCATTTTGTATTTTATTTCTGAAAGATTGGCAACAATACCCTAAATCATTTCTGATTTTAGCTACACACACACACACACACACACACACGACTTTTTATAAGTCTTTAAAATTTTTTTTTTATTGAACAATTCAGGGTTTAATCTTTGAAATTAGCAATAAGGTGCATGTTTCTTCTTTGTATAGAAATTAGGAAAAGTAGCCAGGCGGTGGTGGTGCTTGCCTGTAATCCCAGCACTCGGGAGGCAGAGGCAGGCGGATCTCTGTGAGTTCGAGGCCAGCCTGGTCTACAGCGTGAGATCCAGGACAGGCTCTAAAACTACACAGAGAAACCCTGTCTCAAACCAAAGGGGGAAAAAAAAAGAAATTAGGAAAAGCAATTTTTTTTTTTTTTTTATCATTTCTCTCCTTTAAAAATCTTTTGTGAAGTCAGTCTAGCTAAAAGTATGTTGGCTTCTTGCATTACTTATGTGTATGAAGATTTTGCCAGCATGTATGTCTGTGTACCATGTGAGTGCCTGGTGCCAGCACAGGTCAGAAGAGGGCTTTGCGGATCCCCTGGAACTGGAGTGATGGATGGTTGTAAGCTGCCATGTCGGTGCTGAGAATTGAACCCAGGTCCTCTGCAAGAGCAACAGCTGCTCCTCATGGCTGAGCTATCTCCCCACAACACACCTTTTCCTTTTTGAGACAGCGTCCCTCTGTGTAGCTCTAACTCTCCCGGGGCTCACTATGTAGACCAGGCTGGCTTCGAACTCACAGAGATCCAACAGCCTCTCCCTCTAGTGCTGGGATTAAAAGTGTGCGTCATCACGTCCAGTGTGCTGATGCTTTTCTTGTTGTTGGGACAAAGTCTTGTCATGAAGGCCCTGGCTGGTCTCCAACTTGCATGGATCTTCCTGCCTTTGCCTCTCCATGCTGGGACTAAAGGCGTGCCCCCCCCCACACACACTATTTCTTTCTGTTTTTTAATCAGTGGTATTTGTTTCATATGTTTTGCATTTACGCTCTTTGGTGTGTATATGTTAATAATTAATATTCTTGATAAACTGACCTTCTTACCGATGTATAATGTATGATGTATTTTTCTGACTTTCGTTACGCGCGCGCAGGAGGATATCTGTGTGTGTGTGTGTCTCTGTGTCTGTGTGTCTGTGTCTATGTCTGTGTGTAGGTGTGTTTGTATGACTGTATAGGCCTGAGGTCAACCTCCAGGGATATTCCTGGAGGGTCATCCTGAATCTTGCTTGTTGAGACATGGTTTCTCACTGGACTGGATTGTTGATTAGATTAGGCTAGCTGGCCAATGAGCCCCTGGGGGTCTCCTGTCTCTTCCTCCTCAGCTCTCGGATAATTGCATTCAACAACACTGACTTTATGTGGGTGCTGGGGATCGAACTCAGGTCCTCATGCTTGTATGTAAGGCGTTCTACTATACGAGCTATCTTCCCAGGCTTGCCTTTTTTTTTTTCATTGAAAGTTTATTTTGTCTGATATTAATATGGCTACTTAGCTCTTTTGGTTACTATTTACATGTGTTATTTTTTTAAAAAAATACATTTTAACTTCAGTCAGGCATAGTGTCACATACCTTTAATCCCAGCCCTTGGGAATCAAAGGCAGGCAGTTCTCTGTGGGTTGGAGGCCCAGCCTGGTCTACATAGTGAGTTCCAGGACAGCCAGAGTTAAATAGTAAGGCCCTGTCTCAAAACAACAAAATAAACAAAAATATTCTAACTTTGAATGTATTTATATCTTTGGATCTAAAGTGATTCTCTTCTACATAACATACAGCTCGGTATCTCATCTGTTTTTAAAGTAAAGTTTTATTGGAGCATAGACAAGCCCATTTGTTTACATACTGTTTGTGGCAATTTTCATGCTGCTGTGACGGGAGTTTGAGACATGCCAGTGGAGACTGTGGTTTGCAGAGCCTGAAATAGTTACTGCCTGACTCTTTTTAGGGTGTTTACTGATTCTAGGCTGTCTTTTTTAGTTCCCTGGCTATAGTCAATAGTACAGAGTCCCACATAGCAGTAGCCTGTTGAGATCTGTCACATGTCGCCTGCTTTATCCTCAGCCCTTGTAAAGTGGGAAGTTCTGATAACAGATCTGGGTATTCAAAGGCCTTAGCTGGCTGAAAAGAGGAGCAAGCTTCTAACCTTAAAGTTAGGGTCGGAGACAGGATGCCTGGGGTGGGGTCACCCAGTGGTGACTGCATTAATGTGGCTAACTGTTCCGATGTCCTGGGAAGGGGCACTTCCTAGAACACATTTTATTTCATTTTATTTTAAAGATTTATTTGTTTATTATGTACACAGAAGAGGGTGCCAGATCTCATTACAGATGGTTGTGGGCCACCATGTGGGTGCTGGGAGTTGAACTCAGGACCTCTGGAAGAGCAGTCGATGCTCTTAACCTCTGAGCCATCACTCCAGCTCTAGAACACATTTTAGATCTATTCAGATCTATTCATTTGTCTCTCTCTGTGTAGATTTATGTATATGCAGGTAGACGTGTGTATGTGTGTGTTGAAGCCAGAAGCCAACCTTGGGTATTGTTCCTCAGGAGCTACCCACCATGATTTTGGAGACAGGCTGTCCAAAGGCTCGGGGCTCACTGATTATGCAAGGCAGGCTGGCCTGTGAGCCTTAGGGATCTGCCTGTCCTCACGTCCCCAGTGAGGGCATTACAAGAGCATGCCAACATACCACCTGGCCTTTTCTGTGGATGCTGAGGATTGAACTCAGGTCCTCAGTTTTGCACAGAAAACACTTGAATGACTGAGCTATCTTCTAGCCAAGTATTTTAGTTTTAAAAGATCAGTTGCCCTATAGAAAGAACTACAGGGCAACTGAGGCGTGCTGGGAGTGGGAGAAACAGTCTTCCCCAGAGGAAGAGGACACTAATTCGTTATCTAATACCAAATGGCCAGCCCTGAAATCGTCCATATAAGTAACATTATGTGTATTGAGCTGCTTATCTTTAGGAATGTATATGTCTATACATATATATATATATATGTAATAACAATGAAAAAAGAGGCCATAAAATTGAAAGAGAGTAAGGAAGGGCATATGGGAGGGTTTGGAGGGAGGAAAAGGAGGAATGTTGTAAAATCTCAAGCTGGGCGGCGGTGGTGGCGCACGCCTTGAATCCCAGCACTCGGGGAGGCAGAGGCAGGCGGATCTCTGTGAGTTTGAGGCCAGCCTGGGCTACAGAGTGAGTTCCAGGACAGGCTCCAAAGCTACATGGAGAATCCCTGTCTCAAAAAAAAAAAAAAAAAACACCTCAAAAAACCCCAGTCTAGTTCAGAGTCTAACTTGTGTCCCCCCGCTCCAGTGCCATTCAGGGAGACCCCCAGCTATGCAAAGCGGCGACGTCTGGCGGGCCCGAGTGGCTTGGCATCCCCTCGGCCCTTACAGCGCTCCGCCAGCGATATTAACCTGAAAGGTGAAGCGCAGCCGGCAGCTTCTCCCGGGCCCACTCTCCGAAGCCTCCCTCATCAACTGCTGCTTCAGCGGCTTCAGGAGGAGAAAGATCGGGACAGGGATGGTGAGCCGGAAAACGACATCAGTGGCCCCGCGGCAGGCAGGGGTAGCCACAAGATCAGGTAGGAGGGGATGGGGAGGGTCCTGGAGGGGCCAGGGTGGGTCGAGGGCTATGACAAACCAGAGCTGTGAAACCAGGCAGGCCAAAGGTAGTTCTCTTTGGTACCTTCGAGGTGATGGGCTGGGGCTTGCGGCGGAGCTCCTGGGTGGTTTTACTCATGCTGATCTCCAGAAGAAGCCGGGATTGTGGGCTGCTCAGGGAGTTGTGGGTGGAGAGGGTGTGGTCCAACTTGTGGTTAGAAAGCTCATTTGCAGGGTGGCCACTGGTCGTAAGTTGGTTTGGAAATGCCTTTCTGTGGAGGCTTCAAGCCTACAGGTGAGCGTTAGTG